CGAAGCAGATAGGGGAAAATATTCTTCTATTCTTTTCTGCCCAAACTTTTACATCCTTCGAATCTCCGCTTACTTATTTTTCTTGAATACATTTTATTTTCATCACAATAAATATGAAATTATTGTTGACATTTACCGCCGCCTCATCTGTTTTAGGTTAGAACCATTTTAATAAAATTTAACTATCTTAGATATCATGATAAAAAGATTGTGACCTTTGGTTTTTTCGCAACGTCTCTTCACTGCATATATCTGGTTTTATCTCATGTTCACAACTTAATTATCACTGCTTGCTCAGCCATTTTTGTCATTTGTTCTCTCAATTCAATATCGACTGGGTTCCTTCCCAGGCGTTTCTCTGGCATCGTTATTATAGTGAATGAGGAACCCCATCGACTCATCAAAAGTAAACATACACGAAACTTCTTGGAATGCTCGAACCCGGCAGTCCGATGCTGGAATGACAAATGAAAATAATGTTATGGCATGCATTACGGAGTAATTTCTTCGAAGTCTTTCGGAGAGCTCAACTAAGTTGTGCAATTATGCCCTGATGCTTTCTATTGTAATATATTTGTTCATTTTCATATGATTTATGTTCCCTGCAACTTTTTTTTGGATGATTTTGATATTTGTCAATTTTACTTTAATAAATCGTTTCAAATATACTCTAACCTATTATGCTTGCTAGAAGTACTTAGACGAAGGAAGCAGAGTTCTTTTATAGAAGTGGGTTGACCTCGTCGCAACTTGGTCTTGTTGTCAGGGTGATTTAGTAGAACGCACCTAGTCCTAAGTCCTCTGCCAAAGTAGTTATACTTCCCAGCATCTGACAGTGGACTTGATACATTCTCAAATGTTTCGCCGGCATCATCAGTGAGTTATACCATTCTCTGTACCAAGATAGAAAATTGTCAAAGAGACAAGTGAAATCAATGCCTCGAGAACCGTTCTGCCGGAAACGGTTATACTATTACTCCTCTTTCTGTCATTGTCTACCTATCTACTCTTTACACTCTTATCCCATTGCCGCCCTATCACAACTTTTCACTTGTTTACATTCCAA